TCGTCAAAGTATGTCTGTGCATACGCCCTGTGGAGCCTGAACAACTGCGTCACAAGACTATTAAATGTTGCTGGTGCATTTGACAGCCTTTTGGGCATCACCAGCCACTCCCAGAGCATACCGCTCGAATTGCTTACCGCTGTCAGCGGAATGTCACTCGCTCTCATGAACAATTGGTAATATCCATCTGCCAAATCGAGTGCACTGTGCTTCGTCCACCCCACCATGTTGTTCTGAAGAACATCCTTTCTAGGATATGGCGTTTGTGCCGGAACGGTGGCAGCGTTGAGCATATTGTAAGCATGAACGATATGCCACTTGCCGTTCGGCTTCCGAGCACAAAACGTGGGTGTCCAGTAGGGAGACTTGCTCTCACGCACCATCCCTGCGTCGTGCTTCGCAGGAAAAAAGGCGTCAATGAAGTCGCACTGCTCCTTAGGCAGGGGGGCATTGGCGTGTTACGCAGTGTTTAATTCCCGTAACCAGGTCAATCTCATGACACACACCTCGGTCCGGAGATAGGACCGAAGGCGGGTCTTTGGAGATCTTGATATTCCTTTACCAAAGAATATTACGGATCCAAGGGATTCCGTAGGATCGACGATCCACTTCGTGCGTTCAGCACTCTCTTGGTGTCTTCCGGGATTGTTTCATCCGGAAGCGATGACGATTTTTCTCCTCGTCCGGTCATACAATGACCACTTCGGCCAAATCGCCTGCCTTCAAGTCACTGCCAAACTCTTCAAGGGACATCTCTTCCAGCTCAAGAAAAGCATCTACTGCAGGCATAGCCTCGAGGCGGACGTCGCCATCTTCCTCCCTCCGTCATACCGCTGACAAGTGTGTATAACTGTGTATCGCCTTCCACGGTAGACACACACTGGGTCAGGTTTGACGCCCGGCAACTCGTAGCCCGCATACGGCGTCGCCGTCGCCTCTGTACAGAGGTTCTATGTCTCGCTAAGACCAGGATAAAAGCACTCCGTGTCTGTCACCTTCACTTTCTGCTCCTTTGGAGCTCCGATGTTATCTACAACATCCGACGAAGATTTGCTAATCCCGTAGTCTTCGTCCAGTGAATACCGTGCCACTCCACGCGCATCTGAAGGGCCGTGCCCAAGATGCCTCGGGCTCTGTCCGATCACGCCATCAATGGCATGCAGCAACTGCTTCGCAACGAGAGGAGTTGTCAGCGGTTTTCGTGCCACTCCACGCGCATCACGAGAACCTCGCCCTCGATGTCTCGGCCCTTGGCCGACCATGTCACCCATGACATGCAGCGACTGCTTTGATTCTCGAGCAGCGCTCTGTGGTTTACGTGCCACTTCACGTGCATCACGATGACCTCGCTCTCGATACCTCAGCCCTCAGCCGACCATGTCACACATGATATGCAGCGACTGCGTTTAAACTTGAGCAGTGCTCAGTGGGTCACGTGCCACTTCACGATCAGCCCGCGAGCCACGTTCGGGACTCCTGTCCAATGCACCGTTGGTGTCTACCAACTCAACCATTCCAATGTCTAGCACGTTGACCGTGGACGGATGCACACGAAAGATTTCCATTCCGGCCACGCCAGTGCGGAGGCCTTCCAA